GAATATATGTGCTGAATAAAGTATAACTACTTAGGGCCGAATAAAGGAAATGACAATGATTAAAAAGTAAGCCCTGGCCCCAAGGATCAAGAAGAACAGGTATAAATACAAGAACAACGGTTATAGAAATGTATGTAAGAATCACTTCACAAAACTGGTAAATGGGCTATCCTGAGCGTCTGAACTAACTTGTCCGTCGGAGTGCTAATTCCTGCACCCCCGACCGGAGTGTTTATTTCTTTTCAGGTGACTAGCTGAGGATCACTAGCGTCTCCCAGGATCCGAAGAGTATTTCCAAACCACTTCCCCACAATTGGCGCCGTCTGTGGGAATACTCAAATACATTCATGGCAGGCGTGACTGAAGATCCTCCGGTAACCATTGACGAGACCGCACAGGGAGATGACCTCACTCCAGCAAATATGCTCGGAAAAGAAACCATCGCTGCAAGACGCGCCTTGAACTTCGACTCACCAACGACCTCAGCACAAGAGACAATGCAAGCGATCATCGAACAAGCAAAGCATAATGAACAAAGGCTGGAGAACATGATCGCTGAAAACCAACATCTCCGTCAAGATTTGGCCCTTGAAGTCGCAAAATCGAGAGAAGCCATGCGCCAAGATCCCGAACGACCTCCGAGGGTCGGTGGACAACGACCTCGAGCCCGACCAAAGGATACCGATAGCGACTCCAACTCATTAACCACAGAGCGACTCCCACTGATCAAATCCGTCACTATAAGCAGGCCATGACATTGCATGCAGACAACGAAGCCCTCATGTGCCAAATATTCCCTCGCAGCCTGGGGCCGTTAGCTGTCAGGTGGTATTACAAGTTGGAGTCGGCCTCGATCAAAAGCATCCATCAATTACAAAAATCCTTCAGGGCCAGGTTCATCACCAACGAGGTGCAGCCGAAACAGGCCGACTCTCTCTGGGCTATGCAGATTCAGTCAGGAGAAATGCTCAGAGCGTATTCACGCTATTGGGAGTGCTTTAACCTTGTCGACGACGCTTGTAACGACTCCATGGCCATCACCGCCTTCAAAATGGGACTACATCTTGACAGTCCCCTTTGCAGTTCCCTGACCATAGACCCCCCAAAACAGTCTGCGCATTGATGAAGAAAGTTGAAGAGTATTGCAAGGTGGAAGACGATGACTTGAGAATAAAAGCCGGCCAAATGTCCAACAAAACGACCCCCCTTGAAATTGCTCAACCAATAAGTTCCGCGCCACCTCCTAGCCCAGACCCTCAGCAACGCGCTAAATGAGACAAAAGGAGGGATACTCATCGATCAAGCGATCAATGCTCCCACCGGACGAATGAACAACTGCAAACCGATAACAGGCATTCAAGACGTGCCAACAAGAAGTACACAGAGTTGTCAGAACCGATCGCTACAATAATGACCAAAGTCCAACACCTTCCATTCTTCAAATGGCCATCAAAGATGGTGGGGCCGCCCGACATGCGAAGAAGGGATAGGCGTTGCGAATATCACAAAGATCACGGCCACGAAACGGAGAGTTGTTACCCATTAAAAGATCACCTGGAAGAACTGGTGCAAGACGGCCGACTGCAACAGTACGTGAGAAAGGGAAAGCCAACCATGGCACTAGCCTTGAGGCAAGACTCACCTCCACTTGGCGTGATCCATATGATCTACAGCCTGCTTGGACCCCCCAGCCGTGCATACAATTCAATCGCATCCAATCCCCCAAAAGCAACGTATTCTGACTGAATGGCCTAAAGAAACTCTGACAATTACTTACAATGACTCCGATCTTAGTGGCACAACAGCTTCCCACATCGATCCGTTGGTCATTAAATTATGCATAAATCGGTTCACCATCGAACGCATTCTCATAGACCCGGGGAGTACTTCAGAGGAGTACTTCAGAGGTTATGTACTACCAAACTTTCATCAAACTCGGCCTCAACAAGTCAGATCTGTCTCCGTCACCTTACCCATTGTTCGACTTTAATATGAATCCCGAATATCCGTTAGGGAAGATCATACTACCTGTTCGAGCGGTTTCCAGAACGGTCGAAGTAGAATTCCTGGTCGTAAAGCTCCCTTCGCCGTATAATGTCATCATGGGGCGAACCTGGATACATATGATGAAGGCTGTTCCAAGCACTTCTCATCAGCTTGTGCGCTTCCCGATAGCCCATGGCATTGAAGAAATCCGTGGCTCCCCCCAATCGGCACAAGCAGAGATTTAATGAAAACCCTATCACTGACCCGATCTGTGGGCTTTGATACTTGTATATGTATCACTTCTGCAATGTAAACCATTTATCTTCGTGGTTCCATTAATCTCTCAAAGTCTCCGGATTCAGAGCCCCCTTTGGTGCATGACACCTTAGGGCCGAACAAAGTCTCCGGATTCGGAGCGCCCTTCGTGGACATCACGATTGGCCAAACAAAGTCTCCGGATTTGGAGCCCTCTTTGGTGCATGACACCTTAGGGCCGAACAAAGTCTCCGGATTCGGAGCCCCCTTTGGTGCATGACACCTTAGGGCCGATTAAAGTCTCCGGATTTGGAGCACCCTTCGTGGATATCACGATTGGCCAAACAAAGTCTCCGGATTCGGAGCCCCCTTTTGTGCATGACACCTTAGGGCTGACTTAGTATCCAGATTCGGAGCGCCCTTCGTGGATATCATGATTGGACAAACAGTTTCCGGATTCGGAGCCCCTTTTGGTGCATGACACCTTAGGGCCGATTAAAGTCTCCGGATTTGGAGCGCCCTTCGTGGATATCATGATTGGCCAAACAAAGTCTCTGGATTCGGAGCCCCCTTTGGTGCATGACACCTTAGGGCCGACTTAGTCTCCAGATTCGGAGCGCCTTTCGTGGATATCACGATTGGCCAAACAAAGTCTCCAGATTCGGAGCCCCCTTTGGTGCACAACACCTTAGGGCTGATCAAAGTCTCCGGATTCGGAGCCCCCTTTGGTGCATGACACCTTAGGGCCGACTTAGTCTCCGGATTCGGAGTGCCCTTCGTGGATATCACGATTGGCCAAACAAAGTCTCCGGATTCGGAGCCCCCTTTGGTGCACAACACCTTAGGGCCGATCAAAGTCTCTGGATTCCGAGCCCCCTTTGGTGCATAACAGCTTAGGGACGATTAAAGTCTCCGGATTCGGAGCCCCCCCCCTTTTTTCGGTGCATGACACCTTAGGGCTGACTAAGACTCCGGATTCAGAGCGCCCTTTGTGATTATCACGATTGGCCAAACTAAGTCTCCGGATTCAGAGCAACTTTTGGCACGAACAAAACAAGACTCGCCAACATCGCAAATAAGGTGCTTAACTAAGCATATAAAAAAAATTTAGAATAAGACGCAAATGTTCAAAATAAAGTTTTTTGTTCAATCAAGCAGTTGTTACATAAACGCAACCCGCATTTAAGCGTTACAATTTTTATTTAATCACACAGTTGTTACATAAATGCAACTTGCATTTGAGCATTACAATACCCATCTCCAAACTTAAAAGCTAAAAAAGGGAGAAGACGCATTAGTAAAGCGGCAGCGCCGAATCACCTCCCGTCACCTGGAAGTCCTCCGCGGTTTGCAATGCCTTGAGCCAACTGTGCCCAAGTCCTCCACTGATACCATTGACAATGTCAAGGCAAAGATCCAGGACAAGGAAGCATAAAAATCCGACGGTCGTTGCTTTTTCCTTTCAGGGTGATCTGCTTTGACGACTCAAAGATTCATGCCAACGTTTGGACGCCCTACTTCCCATACGGATGGGTCCTCTGCCGCGCTCCATGGGAACACCAAGATCGGCTGAACTCCAGTCTCTCTAACTAACATTCCCCATTTATTCCACCACACATGAGTGATTGTTTATCTGCGCGAAGCGCCCACTACTTTTATTTTCAATACTGGCAGCGATCTCGAGGCCCCAATCCCGAGGCGATTTCACTAACTCTAAACTCCACGAGAAAAACGTCGGTTGACAGTCACCATGGCATAGTTGTCCAAACGACTTTTTGAAGAACGTGCACCGTCTGAAAATCTAGGCCCCGAGCCGAGTTGAATTTGCCGTAGCTACCTTACCGACTGGCTTTTGGCTTCCTCAAGTTACAATAGCCTCAATCAGGGATAAACGGCTATCACGTATGCGTCGACCCTACCGATCAATGTTTATACATCCATTCAAACATATACATAAACGAAACGCGTACATACCAAATACGAACTGCAACAAAATATTTATCATAGAACGCTTTTTATTTGATAAAACAGGCAATATATTACATAGTTTTCAACGCGATCTACGTTTCAACCTTACAACAAGTACACTTATACGGCATCACCCTCATCCTCACTCTTCTCGACCTCAAAAGAAGAAAACGGAAAATGTTTACTATGGTAGAATGGCGATGCCGAATCAATGCCCGACGCTCGAAGAGCTTCTGCGGCTTGAGATGCCATGATCCAACCGTGCCTAAATCCATGATTTTCACATCGGCAAACTTCTTCTACAAGTTTTTCCTTTGTCTTTTTGATTCCAACTTTTTGGCCGTCATGAAAGCCTTTCTCATAGGCCCTCCGCTTCGCGTTCTCCAGTGCGAACATACTCGCCGTCTCACGATCGGCAAGCGCGGAACTGATGAGCCGACTGGTAACCCTTTCTTCCACGATTGGGTTTCTGTGCCTGGCAGTTTGTGCCTGGGCCGCCTTGGTCTTCCTTAACTCGGTGATTGAATTATTATTATTATTATTATTATTATTAATTCAAAGTTGTTGAGAGTTACACAAAAGAAAGGCAAAAATAAATAAACACACCGTGTCTTGCTATACTTTAATATACCTTACTTTACACCTACCTGAAGATTACCCATAGTTAATGTCCCTATAACTTATTATATGACATTTGATGATGCTAATATCATCAAAAGAGAGGCCACACCATCCACTCCCCTCAAACCTGTCTCACCAACTCACATCTAGAAGCAATTAGGGTCACTTCCCCCCCCTCTCTCTCTCTCTCTCTCTCTCTCCCTGTATATACATATATATATATATATATATCTATAAAGAGTCAAAAGGCTATAAAAACCCATCTCAAGTACTCACAGGGGCCGGCCTTGGATTTCCACCATATAACCACTGCAACCCAAAGAAAAAGAGAAAGAAGACAAAGAAAAGAAAAGAAAATTGCTAATCAGATGGGAAGGTCACCTTGCTGTGAGAAAGCTCACACAAACAAAGGAGCATGGACCAAAGAAGAAGATGATCGGCTCATCGCTTATATACGAGCTCACGGCGAAGGCTGCTGGCGGTCTCTTCCTAAGGCCGCCGGCCTCCTTCGCTGCGGCAAGAGTTGCCGCCTCCGCTGGATCAATTACCTGAGGCCTGACCTCAAACGAGGCAATTTCACTGAAGAGGAAGATGAGCTCATCATCAAACTTCATAGCCTTCTTGGCAACAAGTAAGTCCATATACATCACATATAAAAAATCTTGCCTTATTTATCTTGCAATAATTTTCTAAATCTTTAATGGGTGAATGGTAATGTTAGCTTCATATAAATTCTTGGACCCATTTTCAAATAAGTTTGTAGGTTAATTGATGACTTAACAAGGTATCAAGAGATCCGAGTTTGAATCTTGTTTCTCTATCTTTGTCATTGTGTACTACTATTTTCTGTCTGTCTTTGTACACCTCATTTTTTGGCCTGTTTGTCTCCCTACATGCGTGATGGGATCAACTAAACATGATATCAGAACTCTGGTTTTAGGAGATTCGGGTTCAAGTCTTGTTGTCCCCAACGGGGTCGACTTAACATAGTATTAGAACTCTGGTTCCAATAAATTCGGATTCAAGTCTTGACGTTTCTGTTCTTTCTATCATTATGCATTCTACTCTATCTGTCATCATCCAACTTGTTTCTTAGTCTGTTTGTCTCTCCACAAGATCACTCGCGTGATACGATTGTTAGCACAATATATATATATATATATCATTGGGCTAATTTCCTAGTAGTTTAAGTTTTTGAGACAATTAGTGATTTAATAGGTAATTTTCTTTGTTACAGATGGTCTCTTATAGCTGGAAGATTACCAGGAAGAACAGATAATGAGATAAAGAATTATTGGAACACCCACATCAGAAGAAAGCTTATGAACCGCGGCATTGATCCGGCGACTCACCGGCCGATTAACGAGCCAGCGGCAGCCGACGTAACAACCATATCTTTTGCAACTGCAGCTACTAAAGAAGAAGAAGAGAAAGACATTTCCGGGTTTAGTATCAAAGAAGAGAAAAGCCCGGTCCGAGAATGCTGTCCAGACCTCAATCTTGAGCTCAGAATTAGCCCTCCTTATCAAAACCAGTCTGATCAGCCATTGAAGACAACTAGTTCTGTTCTTTGTTTTTCATGCAGTTTGGGAATACAAAACAGCGAAGAGTGCAGTTGTGGAGATGGAACTAGTAGCAGCAACACTGGTTATGATTTCTTAGGGTTGAAAAGTGGTGTTTTGGATTACAGAAGCTTGGAGATGAAATGAAGTTTGATTTGAATTGTTGTAGCAAAGAGAGAGAGAAATGAGTAAGAGATTGGTATATTAGGTTAAAATCTCTCTAATTTTCTCTTGCTTGTATGATTAATTACTAGTAGTGCATGGTATTAATATAGTACAGAGATGACCATTTGGATATTCATCCCATAATTTTGATGAATGTTTTCCATTGATTGTGTTATATTTTGAGAAAATGCTTTTCTTTTTTTTTTCATTCATAATTTTCATACTGAATTATTCACCACTGCCAGTGACAATTTTATTATTAAAAAGTATTTTAATGATTTTTTTTTTTTTAAAAATGATATGTCCATAATTTTGTATATAGTTTTTGTTAATTTGTATATCATTACTCTCAAAAGAGTCATTACATTACCCAAAAACCCAATTCTTTTTTTGTTTTGTTTTTCATTTTGGTTTTCTCTATCTTTACCTTTTACAGTTGATGAATCATGGATTACATATGTTGATTCATGTGATTTCAAGAAATTCAAGGCCTCATTTCCACCATCTTTTTTTTTCCCCTATAACTTTTTCTTTTCTAATTTGGGAATTTTGACGGGTTGGTTTGTCTTCTGGAAAGAGATTAACTGGGCAGCGGGTTATCCGACCCGCACAACCCGCCCGAACCGATCCGAACCGCACGTTTATGGGCGGTTTCGCAAATACATTAGGGTAGGGTGCGGTTTGGAAAATGAGAGAATTTCGGGTTGCGGGCGGGTTGCGGGTTTTACCCGTACCCGACACAACCCGCCCGCATTATATAATTTTTTTTTTTTTTTTTAAGGTTTTTTTTTTTTTTGAAAGGGCCTTGCCCAAGCAACACACACATGCCAACATTGCTCATACTCTCAAGATTTGGAGAATATAAAGAAAACGCACTTTTAAAAAAAAATCATTTGGAGTACATAA